CACAGGCAAACACAAGCACACTGTATTTGGGACTCAAGCGCACACAAGGCGGTGGCTGGACCGTAGTCCGCTCCACAGTGAAAGCATGGAACCACTCTTAGAGCCTAGCACGACCACAAAGACCGTGCACCCCGTACCCTCCAGCAACAGCCAACTGTCTCCTGGAGTCAGTATGGACGAGGTAGTGGGTAATAGACAGGTAAGCACCTTGTCAACATGCACATCAAGCGCAGCCACACCGGAGATATCAAACAACAGCCAAACACTTGACAGAGAGAGAGAGAGGGGGGAAAGAAAATAACTCGATTGATGCATACGGAAACGGTGACATAAACCTTAAGTTAATGAGCATATGAAATAAGTTGTTTACACACGAATCCTAGATAAGTTCACGAGATGAGAAAGTATACTATACGGAAATGCCACGAACACAAAAATGTTGTGGAAATCGAATGCAATTGGCTTAAGCGAGGTGTGCAAGTTAATGGAATAGAGTACAGGTAGACATTTATATAAGAAAGAAAAGCATTAAGGCAAAATTGAAAACCCACCACCTAAAATAAAGAGGCTTAGCATGCAAGCATGCGGTTAGTAAAAAGAATGCAGCGTATCTACAGACGCTGCGCCGGTTTTGCCTACGTTCTCTGCAGAACCCGTCGTCGCTTCTGTAGTGGTCCCTAGTGGCCTCGGTCATGGCTCACTAGGAAAGGGTGACATATATCTTAATGTAATCAGCATCTGAAGTAAGTTGTTTACAGAAGAATGCAAGAGAAGTTCACGAGATCAGAAGGCAAACTTTACCGAAATGCCACGAACACAAAAATGTTTTCGGAAAGGACTGGAATTGGCTTAAGTGACGGGTGCAAGTTTATAGAAGAAAGTACGGGTAGACATTTATACGACAAAGCAAAGCATTGGGACAAAATTGAAAACCCACCACCTGAAATAGACAGACTTAGCACGCAAGCAAACGGTGACATAAATCTTAAATTAGTGAGCATATGAAATAAGTTGTTTACAAAAGAATACGAGGTAAGTTCACGAGGTCAGGAGATTTATTTTACCGAAATGCTACAAACACGAAAATGTTATCGAAATAACTACAAGTGGCTTAAGCGACGTGTTCAAGTGTATAGAAGAGAGTATAACTAGGCATTTATATGGGAAAGAAAAGCATTAGCGCAAAATTGAAAACCCACCACCTGGAATAAAGAGACTTAGCATGCAAGCACGCGGTTAGTAAATCGAATGCAGCGTACCTACAAACGCTGCGCCGGTTTTTCCTACGTTCTCTGCAGAACCCGTCGGCGCTTCGGTAGTAGTCCCGAGTGGCCTCGCTCATGGCTTACTAGGCCTGCCTGACTCAGGCACTCGCGACCGCATGTGCTACAGCACCATGCACTCGATGTCGATGAACTACAATCCATCGGTGCTTGCCGCTTCCGAACCTGCCGCTTCTTCTCTGCATGCAGGAAGTATTTCTCCCGCACTTCAGCAACTGCCTTCGTGATGAGATCGCGCCATACGCGCCGATCAACCGCCTTCGATTCCCATGACCAGCAATCAAGATTAGAACGTGTGAGGCTCACTTTGATCATGTCCTGGTAAGGTAACTTTGGTTTCCCCACGTGCCGCTTCCCTATACTCAGCTGACCGTATAAGAGTATATATATATATATATATATATATCTTCAGAAACTGCTTGGACGCTCCAGCTACATACGTGAATCGTCCCGCTGCCTTCAGCGTCAGGTCTTTGAGACAAGAGTCTTGGGGTAGGATCCCTTGAGTCAAAACTCTTCCTCGGCCTGGGCAACTGGGAAGTCTGCCCCACACATGCATACTGGAAACTGCGAATGGAGAGCGAAAGGTAAAATCTGTGTTTCTCCATCGTAGGTAGATCGGGCACATGCGCGGAATCACGTCGCTGATTGCTGCGCGGTGGCAGCATATTGCAGATGCACTACATTTTATCCGGGTGCGATAAGCTTTCTATACCTGTAGTCCGAAAAGTGGGCGTCAAGGAATCTCTTAAATTCCGACACCTATTTCGTCCCGACTAGCGTCTCCAACAACTTGTTCCAATAGTTCACCACTCAACGCTCGAAGCCTAGAGGGTGAGCGATGCGCTTTAAATCCGGTATCACTATTTGTACCCGTGTCCACGTGTGCTGCTTCGTGCGCGAGCGTGCACCAACAGCCTCAACTTAGGGAAGTGGCCCATGTGTAGTATCCGGTGCGTCATAACGAGATCAACTCGAAGCCGAGGATATGACTGGGTATAAAGCCCTAGTCTCTTACATCGGTCATCATACGCCATACCCCGCAAACTGGGGATGAGCCGGGTAGCTACATGCTGGACCCATTCCAGTCTCTGCACCTCACCTATTGTGATCGGACAATAGGTGGGTGAGCCGTACTCAAGCACCGGTCTTATCATGGAAAAGAACGGACGGGTGGCAATCTCTTCAGACCAAGTGCAGAAGCTGCGTCTAAGTGCCCAAAGCACGCGTAGTCCGTTTGCGTACAGTCTGTCCTTGTTGTCGGCAGACTTCAGATCACAGCGTGGGAGTACGCTTAGATTCTTTACGGAACTGGTGGGATACAGCGGGTTGCCGGCCAGGGTGTACGCACGCCCATTTCCACACCTCTCCAGGCTCATAAACGAGGACTTGGCCGTGTTGACCGGTAGGTCAACTTCTGCAGACCATGGGGACCGGCGGTCCAGGTTCTGCTGAAGGACGTCACAGTCGTCGGGAAAATCAATAACCCTCAAAAGCTTCAAGTCGTCTGCAAACAGTGCACAGGGTGGCCGAAGAAGCTGAGGCAGTTCGTTCATGTGGATGAGAAAAAAAATGGCCCCTAGCACCATCCGTCGCAACTTGACTGTCCCTTAACGTGGTGCGAGAGTTTGCGTACCTCCTTCATCCATGGAGCTATGCTGAGTGGGGCCTCCTAGCCCCTTGAGAGGTACTCGTACTAGGTTGCTCGATGGTTAGAAGTCAGAGCAACTCAGTCTCCTGGTCCTCCGGGTAGGGGAGTTTGAAATGTGATGCGTCCCTTTCTGTAGAACAAAGTCATTGCCATCTCCCCGCTGCCTTGTGGACAGCCTTTTGAGCCAAATGCTTTGGTTGAGGACCGTGATCGTGAATATTAGTTTTCCACTACCAGTTCACCGTTTCAACTCCACTATAGGGGACTTCTTTTCCTCCCTGTCCAAATTTGGAAGTATATGGATTTTTAAGCCTCAGCCTTTGGAGGCGGGATAGTGTAAGTCTCTGACTCGATACATTAACAAACGTGACCCACAGAGGCCGGGACTGCTCTCTTTCCAAAAGTGGTGATTTACTTCACCCGCAGCCCCTGTTCATTCACCTCGAGAAGCCTAGTAAACAGGTTCTGCAGAAAATCCACGTTGTGATCATAACGAGCCTGAGGACTAACATCCGTCGACTCAGGCGCGTGAAATATCATAAGGTTACAACGCCGTTGATTGCTGCCAGTTTTCCTTTCCCTTTTGCTCCGCAGCATTCTCCATTGGCCTTCATCGCCTGCGCTGTTGCACATCGGTATGTTAGTGTTCGTAGGACGCAACACAGGCACGCCAGCTGTGGCTTCAGCAACAAGTGGACATCGATCTGGAGAGCATGCAGCCGGTGCGCAGATGGGCTCGTTCCAACATAGATGTGGCTGGGTTTCCGCTTGTTTGGATAAACCCACGGAGCTCCTTCTTATGGAACGTTTCGCCTGTGTTGTTGGCTCGCGCGGCTTCTCGGCTGTTTGGGACTGTACAATGGCTTGGCATTTTTTGCACAATATTTGGACAAAGTCATGCTGAATTTCACGCAGTAGTTTGAAATGATCTAAAGACAAACCAATACACGAAATGTGGAAATTCACACCACACATGAGGCATGTAACAGCACTGGTTCTATACCTAACTATTTAGAAAACAAGTACCACATGGAGTTGGCTGTGTCATTACCGATAGCTCAGCAGATGTGACGGAAAAGGTGATCAAGTGCGCGGTAAATACACGATACAAATACCAGAGTAGAATATACAAACACGAAACTAATACGCAATAACCAAATTCAGAATGGCAAAAGCAACTGAATTTGACAAGAATAAACATGAAAAATCTGCTCTGCACTACGTAATGAACGATGCAAACTGGCCTGTCAAATAGAGTGAGAAAAGCCGTCCGGTGAGCGCTGTTCGCATTTGTCACTGTTGTTGAGACTTCCTATTCTTCCTCTTGACTGCTTCTCTTTTTTGTTACTCGTGTTGTGGTACTCTTACATATGTTTGTTGGTAAAGTGTTTAAAAACACATGTTTTTGTCTAGCCAACACCGACTTTTTGTTCGCTATTTTCCCCCAAACTGGTTGTCTAGTTAATTTGTATTTTCCCTGAGTCATTTGATTATGGCGTTGGATGGTCATAGGCTGGAATAATTTCTCGCCCATTCCGCATCATTCAGTTGTGTCATCTGCTTATGGGTTTACTAACAGCGTTGACTAAGCGCAGGAGCCTTGGTTATGAACTTTTGCTTCCTGCTTTCAGATTCTTCGGCAGCACTTTATAACGCCCTTTTATTCCTGGAGTCATCTTCCATATTTTTTTAGATATACAGCATCGGGACATTTATTAAATGCTGCTGCTGCTGCCACCGTTGACCTTTATTCGTGCATTTAAGTATAAAAGCTACGAGTCCAGTGGAGTTCTAACTGATGACTCCCATTGATTCCCGTTTGTACTTGTACGGTGCCGCGCAATCTTTTGACTACGCATGCCACCTTAGAGTGCAGGCGGTTTTCGTTTGACTTTGACAGCTTTTGAGCAGTTCTATGTCTCCATCACGATTGACCATACGGTTGCTTGCGCGATCAGACGAAATTGCACCTGCTAATCTACTGTGACAATACAACCATGCGATTTCAAATAGGATTGCCCCCCCTCATCATCGGGAGTAACTTGGGCGTCCCTCTTTTCCTTAATATGTTTTACAAGATCAGTTGGTGGATGTTAGATGCCATGTCTCGTAGATTACTATTTTTCACATTTACAAACATTCCTTAGTTTGCAGTCTAACATTGCTCTTTTGTGTAGGTTACGGAATTCCAGGTGCAAGCGATAGTGACAGTGAACTGCCAGACACGGTAGCAGTGGCGGAATCTGATCAACCCTCTCGATTGGAGTCGCATTTATCCTGTTCTCCGACACTCCAAGAATCCGTGGATCTTGTCAGCTCCTCTTCATCCGCTGCCTCTGGATACCATCGCTCACGGCTAATTTCCGACTTGGTGAATGGACGTGGCTTCCCAGACTTATCCAACGGTTAGTCGCTCTTGAGTTCCTATTCAAACCCTTTGTGGTCTCACAGCCGTTGCTAGTTGTCATATATACCTAGTTATCTGTAAGCATACTATAAGTCGTCAGTCTCGCTACTCGTCAGTAGTTTGCTCTCTGAATGCTATTACTTAGGTCCGAGGAACTTGATACTAACTGAAAACAAGAATCAGCTAATGCTATTCTGTTTTCACTCTGATGTTCACCTTTTAAATATTTGCTCACGTTCTGTGCAGCCCCATCGTCTCATGAAAAATCTTACAGTGGTTCGCTGCGACGATTCCCTGTACCAAACTTTTCAAAGGAATCCACACCACAGTCAACCATCGCCCACATGAGTACAGTATCCTATTTTGACCAGCCGAAAGGGACTCTGACCTGGTCTGGTGTTATCCCACATCACCCTCTGAGCTCACGCGAATCTGAATCTATCCCCCTGACGGTGATAACTGAAACAAAGAAGCTTACCAACGGCTTCGTTAATGGAATCAAAGGGAACACGAAGTTAAAGCTAACCGGATCCCCTCAAAGCTCACCTGTCCCACCATCGGATCCTTTTTCTAGTTGCTCTGTCAACTACGGACGGCCTCTGAACACTTCTGATAGTGGGCCCACGGGAATGAGTGGAAACACCAGCAAACACGGTGGTGGATCCGGCACTACTAGCGGTGGGGCTGCGGGAGGAGGGGGTTCCTCAGGAAACAGTGGACGAAGCACTTCCACCTCAGGTTTTGTCACCGGCCTTGGTGGGCCAACTGGTAGTTGGATTCAGCGAGGTAATCCACCTCAACCTCCATTCAATCCTTCCGGCTCTCTTTTACAAGTGAGTTTTTGAACCTTCGGTATGTCGCTCGTGTGCACGGTTCTTTCGTATTTTACGTATGCTTCCGCACAGTTGAACCTAACTGCAAGCGTTATAAATCCACGGTAGGATTTTCAACACTGCACGCATTAGACACCACCTGAGGTAACGATGTAACTGAATATTATGAGACAGGATTCTTTTCGATGGCCACAAATGTTAGTTTTAGGCCTTATATCCTAATCTATAAAGTAATGGAATCTGACTGCTACGAATCTCCTCAAAATAGAGGACATCTTGGAAAGCTCACTCTAAATTATTGCACTATCTGATTGATGACACAGTGAGGATCAGGATCGACTGGGAAACATCACTACACAGTCACATTGGAACTGAAATTTGCTGAACGCAACCTTTTCGACTGTTTTCTCTTGTTTGTCGACGGTAGCAAACTATGCACCTGCGGTCACGGTTAACAGCAGATGTTTCGAAGGATCTGCACAATTTGCGACGAACAGTACCAAACCATGGGAGAACGGCAGTCTTCATCATCCTCATCATCATCAATACAGTAGTCTTCTACTCGTAGTCGTACTCTGTATCAACTAAGTTGCTATCTCATAGGCAGCCTCTTAAAGGGTGCTAACTAGTTTCCTCTACCCACTATGGGGTTTATAAGCGTGTTTTGAACACTTATCCGCTGGTTTGACCAGTGTTAATATCTCACCATTTAATATGGATCGATTTGTCTCCGCCGTACACAAATCGCTACACTGTTTTGACTGCGCGTTTCATCACCATGTTCTTCAGTTGACAACTTGCATTATTTATTTTACCTGGAGAGGCTAATAAATTCCTGAGTTAAAGTAGTGAAACTAGTTTGGGGCTAAATATTGGCGTGTCACCACAAATTTAAACGCCTCCTCTTATCTACTCAGAATGTCTAGCTAACCGGTTTTATGTGCCTCAATATTCGGCGGACATTCTCATACACCATATCATCCAACCGGCGACATTGCCTTTTGTTACTGGCCATGTGTGCTATCTACTTGCAGATATGATGCGCCTCCACATAGGTAGGGGGTCTAACTCTCAGTTCGCCAATTTGTGCTTTTTTCGGTTCGATCTATAACGTTCGCTTTTGTCACTGATTCTCTCCTTGTTCCCCCTTTCTGGGTTTTCCTCTAGCCGGTCCCCGTGCTCACCACCCAACGCCCCCCGGAGTTCTGGTGTAATATCGCTTATTTTGAGTTGGACCAACAAGTGGGCGAGTTGTTTAAAGTGCCTAGCCAGTACTCTCGAGTCACCGTAGACGGGTATACCGATCCCTCCAGCCCAAATCGTTTTTGCCTTGGACAGCTTTCAAATGTTCACAGGTGAGTCTTTGTCCAATTTCTTCCCGCTTCCTGCTAACTTGCCATCGGTTGTTTCTCTGCACTATTGGGCCATTGTGGTCGCATCACCCCATTCTTTCATAGTGCGCGCCATGAACACCGACCATTTGTCTTTTCTGTTCATTTGTTTACTAGAATCTGACGTGAAGCTGCGCACCTGTTGTTGGGTTTTCCCAATCACTTTATTGCTCGAAATAATATGCCTCTTTCTTCACCTTGTTATGGTCTCTGCATCATCGCGATGAAGTTGATTCATCACTTGGTATGTTTGTTATCGATCTTCTATTACTGCTTGAGTTTTTGTGCTTGGGTCGGCCGGTGGCCGAGTGATCTGCACGTTTGGTTTGCAACCATAAGGTAACCGGTTCGAATCCGCGTAGGGGTGGGTGTCCTCGCGGTATACTCAGCTTGCGCGCGACTGGTGGTGGTCGCGCGGCAGCAAAGCGCCGTTACTGCGTACAGTTGACATATTATTATTATTATTATTATTATTATTATTATTATTATTTCGTGCATTTTGCACTTTAGAGCTGCTAACGCCAGACTGTTCACTCGTTAGGAATCGGTTGCTAGTTCACGATCAATTTCTTCTCTCAAAATTCGTTCTTGACAGTCGATGGTTTGTTGTACAACATTGGCTAGCTCTAGGCCATTGACCGAATGTTGGTTGACGCTGTCTTTCAACCGTTACTACTAAACCTTGGCAAGTCACTGTGCTCGGACTCTCCATCTACCCGTTTTTAAATCTTGTGCTGTATGTGGACACCGTCTCCATCCTAATGGACGTTAACCATCTTTTTGCTCACCAAAAGGGTCATAGCACCAATTGATAGCAGCCGCTTGATCTGATCGTCGGTCGAATCGCCACCCCCCAATCGGACGCTTGTGTCCACGGAAATTTGTGTCCCACCACTTATGTGTCGTTTTTCATGTCAATCTGAAGAACTAAGACCAAATGGCATGTGGATATGAAGCGCCATTGTATACGAGTGTGTCCCATGCTGAGGCTGATGTTGCATTCTTGATGCTTCTTCACTGCAGTTGGGCTAAACCAACTTACACTTAAACTAGGTCTTTTTAAGCTGGATAAATTTCATTCCACTATTTGGTTTGTTCTGCCTACCTTAATAATCTATCAACTGGCTACGTTGCTTACACTGATTGTGCTTATCTTCGGTAACTTTGTTGCGTTTGTAGCATTTTTAAGTAACTTGTGGACACTTTTTACTTATCGCGAATTCGTTACTAACCAACTTACTTAATGTGGTAATTTAGCGAAGAGTTATGCCACCGTATCTGTATGCATTATTGGACCTGGTTTATTTCATCTTGTCGTTTCAAGTGATTGGCTGTTTGATATCCCCGGTGTGCCTGCGCTTAATGTGCACTTTGACAAGGTGCCTACCTGTCTATTACCCACTACCTCATCCATACTGGCTCCAGGAGACAGCTGGTCGTTGCTGGAGGGGACGGGATGCACGGTCCTTGTGGCGGTGCTATGCTTGAAGAGTGGTTCCAGGCACTCAGTGTGGAGTTGACTACGGTCCAGCCACCGCCTTGTGTGCGCTTGATTTCCCAAACACAACGCGCTTGTGTTTGCCTATGAAGTAGTGGACCATCTCCGTTTATGAAATGTGGCTTCCATTCACATGCCTCCCGGTCTTATTCCTTCGGGTTTACACTGGATATGGTGTGTGTGGTTGGCGCTGTGGGTAGTGCAGCACAAGCCACCGATAGTCCCTCTGTAGGCGCAGGCGTCCTGTGGCTGGCCACAGTGACAGTCAAATCCGAAACCGGATGCCGCTAACCATGTATATGAGTCTATATGGCATCCATCGACTAGTTAGTTCGTGTAACATCACAGTACGAGCTACAAACTCACATCGACATTCCGTGAACCTACTGTTTGTTGGTTAGTCCCTGTGTTCGGGGCTACCCGTCTCCTGTCTGCTGGAACCCAACATTGCGAACAAAGTCCGTGACGTTTTGTATGCCTCCAATCTTGTGATGTTTTCTAGGTGACATTCTTGCGTGAGAAAATTAGAAAGGATGGCATCAGCAATACGCCGGTACGCAGTACCGACGCTTCGCTGCTGCACTACCACCAGTCTCACATGGGCTAAGAATACTGCGAAGGTGGCCGGTCCCTATGGTGGCTCGAACCCGCCCTCTCGGATTACAAGACAGGTCTGTGATCCTTGATGGAAAATGCTCCTTCTTTGAGGAATGTTTGGTCGGACAAACTCAGTTTCGTGGTTTCCTAGGTTGCGGAGTGGAACTGGGGCGACGCCCATTCACGTGGAAAGGACGCACTTTACGAGCCTTCGATATACTTCCGATGTCATGTAGCCGAGTTTTGTAGCCTCATTAGTGACCCCGCGTTTAACCATGGCATCTTCTTCAAGACCCAACGTCACCCAACGTCACCCATCACACATAAGGGTCTTTTACAAACTGAGGAGTGAATTAGAGAAAACTGGCTACTGCTTATCTCTCCTTCCTCTCCACTGGCTTCCTGTATACCATTCCCGACCTCGATTACTGATACTTCACAATAAACGGCAAGTGCAGTTCTGATAAAGCTCTACCATCTTCACGGTAGTATTACAACACTCACTGTTTTGCTGCTTCCAATGGCCCCTCTCGAGTCACCCTACCCTGTTTCTCTTCTGAAGTCCAAAGTTCCCTTCGTAAGATAACTGAGTCAATTCACTTCATGCACACAGCTGTGTGCTCTGTTTACAGAAACCAGAATCCACGACTCGTTCAATTATCAAGGTAATCGTCCCGATCTTGTCCTCTCGCCGTTGGTTTTACTTTTCGGATATACCGGTATAGGACAATCCAGAGACTGCTTTGTTATCAGCTCCCGGGCCGCGTCCCTGCAGACGAATTGGATCCCACTGAACAAGTGTGTTTTGATTCACTTCTTGGCTCCGTTGGATTCACTGCGTATCGACCTAGCCCCAAGTGTCTTCGTGCTTGTGAGATCTTCCTTTCTAGTGCTGTTGCGGTCAACAATTATCATCTCATTGTCAATAATGAGAAATCAAAGACTTTCAGTACAGCCACCGAACACATAAAACACGGAACAGACTGGCTTCCAAACGCTTATCTGATATGGTTCCTCAGGCTCGTTCCATACAATTCAAATAACGTAATAATGCTGATGTCTATATATATATATATATATATATATATATATATATATATATATAGACATCAGCATTATTACGTTATTTGAATTGTATGGAACGAGCCTGAGGAACATATCAGATAAGCGTTTGGAAGCCAGTCTGTTCCGTGTCCTGAACGCCTCCTCGTGGTGACCGTTGGGTTGGAGTTAGGTTACGCCCTTCTCCCTGCTAACATCCAGGACACCAATCCGCATGAGTCAGTGAACTGACCATGTGCTAGACCCCGCTGCCTTTCGGGTGTTCATTTAATCGAAGGCTTTGGCTGGGGACCCGAGTCGTTCTCCTGTCAGGTGTGTGCGCCCTGCCAGTATCTTAGTCCATCGTCTTCGGAGGTCATTAAGTGGCCGATGGCCCTCTTCCCGTAAAACCTAGCCATGGGAGACAACAGGTCTACTGGTTATAAGCCCACAGCTCGATTGGCATAGAGCACGAGCGCCACGCATTGTGTCTGACGGTGGGAGAGCACCTCCGTGTGCTCATTGTTCTGATACGGTTCGCCTCAAGCCAACCCCTGGTCAAATATTTGCAAACCCGCCGAAACCCATCTGCGTCTGGCCGTGGTCGCAGGTGCGTATCCTACTACTGTCGCAAAACACATATGAATCGTTACAGTACCTCCAAGGCTGTGTGTGACAGCTGTCAAGCTGCAACCACATTCTCGAGCTGGATCTGATCCCCACTGCCTTGTGGGTCAGGCTATTGAGCCAAAGGTTCCGGGTGCGTTCTCTCAAGCAAACTTCCGAAGCACAACCTCTACCTCGCGTGCGATTGTCCACCAATGCCATCCTATGCCTGCGCGCAACGCACTCAGCATCGGGTGCTAGGACATTCGCACATGACTGGACCGGAATTCGATTGAGCGCCCCCGAGTGACGCACTGCACTAGTCGCGACTGGCGCGGTCTGTGAGACTCGGCTCGCTGACAAAGTAAGTTGCATGAAACAGGCGCTGACTACACATTCTACTGGGTGGGCAACGCCGCCTCAGCACCACATGATCATGGGGTCGAATTTGCAATACCCGATTGCCTCCATGGCCAGCTGGTGGGTGAACCAACAGGCATCAGCGCCCGACTGATGACTTTTCGCCGACGGCTCGGATGCGGTAAGTATGCCATCTTTATAAGCACGTACGGTCCGACCATGTGTTACCCTGATGCCACGCTTGATCAATTCTACATTTAGCTATCCTCCGTGCTACGGTCTGTGCCGAGGAGCGACCGACTATTTCTGCTGGGTAATTTCAACGCGCGCGTTGGGCGTGATGCATCGGTGTGGACAGATGTTATCGGTCCGCATGGCATTGGTTCAGGGAATGCGAACGGTGACAGACTGCTCTCACTGTGTGCCACTCACGGCCTGACGATCACGAACACTCGGTTTGCATTGAGTGCGTGATATAGCAACTTGGACGCACCCGTGGAGTGGTCACGCTCACCTGCTTGTCTGTGTCATCGTACGCAGCGTGATATGCGTGTACTGCGTGGAGCTGGTGCGGACCAAAGTGAATATATATTTTCGTAAATCTGTGTATTGCACTCTTACCGTGAATCGGCGTAAATGTAACATTCTCTCCCTCGGTACTGTGGCGAAACGTATTGAGCTGGAGAAGGCGTTGGCTGCACGACTGTGTGATATGGAATGCATAGCTACAGTGGGTGACTTGTGGCACCACATTCGCGACCAGGTGACAGCTGCTGCCAAGGGGACCATCTTGTGCGCAAACTGTAAGCAGTCTGATGCAGTTTGGTGAGAACAATGCGACGATTGGCACATTGCTGTCCGTGAAG